AATAATTACATGCAGAGCTACAACATGAGATAAACTTTGAGGGCTCCCAATTTATTCAAAAAAAAAAAAAAAAAAAACACCTCTTTCATATACTATAGTTATAATTTGTTTTACTTAGAATAGAGTGAATTTATTTTTTGTAATATAATAGAATATTTTAGTGCCGTTCAAAGCTCGGAGCTGCCGAGATTGCAAAAGCTGTCTTTGACGGCTTCGAAGCTATATAATTGCACTTTGTTATAGACACGACATCATCATCAGTGCCGTTCAAAGAGGGCGATTACCTACAGTCTGGCATCCCTGTAGCCATTTTTGAATTATGTTACATCAATTAGTTAGTGTGTATTTACTTAACAGATGGATATGTTTGTTTTGGGAGAAAGCTATGGGGATATTTCAGTTTTGGGTAAAAGAAGAAAATTAGTAATGTATTAATAATAAAAACCATAATATCAGTAAAACTATTTCAAATGATGTTAAAGTGTAAATTATAATAATGAAAATTAGTTATAAAATTTTCAAATTTGTTGCGACTATTTAAAATAATTAATGGCACATAAAATTTTGATATTGGTAATAGTGGGAAAAGTTTTAAAAAAGTATTGCCTTGTATTGAACAAATATGAACAAAACTGATCCAAAACCTTAATTGTAACAAATGACTGCTAAATCTGATTTTTTCTCAGTCTGGCTTCTTTTTTCTTCTTAGCCCAAAGGGCGTTAGCCCAGTTGGACTATTAATTTCGTTTTGGCATTTTGCGTTTAAAACTTTAAATGTCGGTTCACTTTTAAAACAGTTGTCACAAAATATTACTACCCTGTATTATATTTAAGGAAATTAAATAATGAAGAATCTGCATAAATGTATGTATGTTTCTCGCAATGTGATAAAACGATGGTACCTAAAGCCATCCAGTTTTGAATAACGTGCGTTTGTACCAGAATATGGGCATCTAGAAGCCCAAATTTGGAATTTGTTTTATTAGCTATTTCATATTTCGTAAAACTTTAACGAATTTTCGATTAACAAACTCAACGATTTCAAAGCGAGCCATGGCAACACTGTATGAAAAGAAAAAAAAAAAAAAAAAAATTATCTCCAGTGCGCGAGACTATCGGATTGATTCCAATGGCTGGGTCCTCGGCCGACTTTGTCTTGGCCACTACTAAGGCCAGAGGCGGTGGTCACTTTAATGTGTAGGCAACTACATAGGTGGGCCACTTTTGGCTCCTATGAAAGGACGGACAGTTACAACCATGCCTTCTCTGGGATTCGAACCCAGGACCTTTGGTGGCACAGTCGGCTCCCCTAACCACTATACCATCTGGGCGGGAACTTGAAGATTTTTATGGGTATAAATTATGAATAGAAACTTTGATATCCTTGTACAAGGCTAAAAGCCAGTTATTGCGTGTAAAGAGCAAATGTTCTTAATTGCTATTGTATTTAAGCATCCAACAGCCATCAGCAAGTGGTTACGCTGATTCGCTATGTGAGATACTGCTAATTTTTATCATAGTTTGCTACTATATTTTATTTTGTTAGTTTTTTTATTATTAATTGCTAACGTATATTTTACACTGCTTTACAATACGAAATTGCGGTTTGTTTTATAATGAATAAAACCAGAATTTCATGAATATGTACCGTATTTACTCGCCTAATGGTCGCACTCTTTTTGCCAATTTTTTATTATGAAAGTCTTAGTGCGACTATTATGCGTGGAAATCCAGCACTCAATATTGTACACTTTTGGCGATTTTTCGGCTTCAAAACGGGGGTGCGACTATTACACGAGTAAACACGGTAATAAAAATATTTTGGTTTTATACTGACTACAAGATCCATTGACATTACTGTCAAGCAAAGATTTTCATGAGCTGTAAACTTTTCTAATTTATAAAACGAGACTGAAAATCTTACTAAAACTCTAAAATATGGTAAAAATGTTACATTTAAGATTTAAATCAAAATTTTCTGTCAAAATTACATCTCTCTGGTTTTGCTAACTCTCTAACGCTTTTCCAACAAATGCTTTTCTATCGCTAAGCCTTTTCTGTTTGAAGGGGCAGAACGTGTATAAAAAAAAAAAAAAAATCTGAAATGTTTCAGATTTTAAATTACGTCCAAAGGGGCGTTTTTTAACATTTTGTGTGTTACCTTTCTTTATTAAATATCATGTTCCTCGCACTTAAACCATAAGATCCAGTGCAACAGCAATATCGCAAAATAGTTTTAAAACGAGCATATCTTTAGAATTTCCGATACAGAGACTCACGCGCTGGAGATAAAAATGTTTTTGCACAACGTGTCATTGCTCGCTTTGAATCCTTGAGTTGTTAATCAAAAATTCGTCAAAGTTTTAAAAAATAGGAAATCGATCATAAACAAATTTCAAATTTTCAAATTTGGTCTTCCACATGTCATATTGTTGGAGGATTACGTTATTCAAAATTCGATGACTCTATGTACCGTTATTTTATGACAATGTGAAAAATAGACAACATTTACGCAGATTTCATTATTTAATTTCTTCAAATAAAGCAGGACTCTAACATTTTATGGCAACGTTTGAAAAGTGAACCGACATTTGAGTCCTACGCAAAATGCCAAAACGAAACTAATAGTCCTTCGGGATTCAAATCCCTTTGGACTAAAAAAAAAAAAAAAAAAAAAAGTATGAAATTCAAAATAAAATTACTCGTTTATCCAATGCAGTACAAAGTGTAGCCAAGTATAATTTTCTATACTGAGTATTCGTCACATACAAAATGCATTGGAAAAGTGAAAATTAGTAACATTCTATGAACTATGAATAAAATTTCGTAGATAACCAAATAGTCTGAAAATTAATCAGAAACATATAGCAAAGCACATGCGTAGCAAAGCACACATAAATTTAATTTGATTACCTCCCCTTCCTGCTTTAAATATGAACCTGAAGCGCATGATCTGAAAATGAATCCGGTCCTATTTATGTAATCATGGTGCAATGCATGCTGTTGCTGCATAAGCGCCTTTTCTCTCTACTCTTCCTGCCCTGCTACTTGTACGTGCTGCTTTGTTTTGTGTTGCTCTGCCTTGTATACATTGTCAGAAAATGTTTCAAAAGTGTGAGGGTGTAAATCGAGCCCATATTAATAAAATTCGAATCAATATTTGTCGTTGGAAGTTCTTTATCACACAATAAAATTATGTTAATTTCGGATACGAATCTCTGATAATGTCAACCGTGTAGCTATGCTACCCTCAAGTCATATACACCGAAATATCACATACAGGGTGTATCGCAAATGTTGCGACAAACTTCTAGGGAAGGTAGGGCACATCATAAGGATTAAGAATTGCATAGGAACCTATAGAAGAAAATGTCAGGGGGTAAGTGGTAGCAGAGGTAGAAAATGGGAAAAGAAGCAAGAGTGATTAATTTGAAACATTTATTGGACATGAATACAAATGGTGTACGACAGCTTGAATGTTACAACAGGTGCTCGAAGTTTGCACCATCAGACACCAAACATGCCCGACACCGATGGACCATTCGAATGTGGCGAATTAATTGATCTTTCTGGAGCAGGTTCCTCCCGATGTTCCACCAAATGTGAGGAGCAACATGTGATTCCAACATGATGGAGCTCCTACTCATTTTGTACTGGATGTTCATAGCCATTTGAACAGATCATTTCCGCATCGATGGATTGGGAGTGGTGGACCAGTTCCCTAGCCCTCACGCTTACCGGATTTATCCAGCCTTGATTTCTTTTTGTGGGAAGCCATCAAAAGTGTCCTGTATCACGATCCTGTTGTGTCTGAAATGGATCTCGTGGCAAGACTCGCCTGCGTAGCTGCTACAATCAAAGAAAACAAAATGTTTTTAAAAAAAATCAAAATGGTTGAACATGTCCGGCAATAAATGGTCTCCGTCGGTGTCAGGCATGTTTGGCGCCTGATGGTGCAAACTTCGAGCATCTGTTGTAACATTCAAGCTGTCGTACACCATATGCACCCATGTCCAATAAATGTTTCAAATTAATCACTCTCTTGTTTCTTTTCCCATCTTCTACCTCTGCTACCACTTACCCCTGACACTTCTGGGCAGTGACGTAGCTAGGATGGGGCAAGAGGGGACATCTGTCCCCGGGTGCTGCAGTCAGGGGGCGCCAAATTGATGCTACGAAATTTTTTTATGAAATGTTTCCCATTCTTGGCACACAGAAAGGGGCGCAAATTCTTCAGTTTGCCCCGGGCTCTGGAAACTCTAGCTACACTCCTGTTTCCGGGCATGGATTCCTATGCAATTCTTAATCCTTATGATGTGCCCTACCTTCCCTAGAAGTTTGTCGCAACATTTACGGTATACCTTGTATATAGTTAGTTATCATACAATGTACTGAATATTTATGTGTTGACAATATCTGTAAACAATATATAAAATTTGGCGTTTTTTTATACTATTTTCAAAGCTATCAGAAATGAGAAACTGCTTTCCTATAATTTAGTCGGCAATAGTTAACTGATTGTAAACAAACAACAATAATAATAAATTTATTATTTATTTTAATGGGATATATTAATGCAGGGCAACGATTCCACAGGAGAACAAACAGTCACCGTCGCTTTGAATTTAAATGAGGAAAAAAACCCGTGTGCTGTAATAATAGAAAATTTTGACACATAAGCCTCGTGTCAGCTTGCATTGTGAAACCGCATAAACGTGAGTAAGTCCCTATATGTTGTACTGACTCTATTTTCTTTGTTCTGCTTGGGCGTGAGATGAATAAAAAGATATCGTTTAGGACTAAAAAAGGGAAAAAAAAAAAAAAAAAGCATACTAAGCGTAAGAAAACACAACAACCTGCCGCTCTTAGCCTCGAGGTTACGTCAGTGGCATCCGCCTCCTCTAGGAACACCTCTCCACTCTATTGGAGGAGAGTAAAAACAGGCGGAGTCCCAGATCGATGCCCAACAGCGTGATAGCCGCTTCTCTCAGAGGCTCGTGTGGGAGCAAACGGAGAACGTCATTTCAAGTGTATGTTGACTATCGTGAGCAGCACTCAAGGCTTTAACAAATTTCACGTGTGTTGACAGCAGGCTTATTGAACTATAATTTGCAGTGTATGTCGTAGTAAGCTCTGTCCATACGTTCCTTATTTATAATTCAGCGAAAAATCTCGCTTGTGCTTAATTTATTTAAGAGACCTTTCTGTTCGCATACAGAAACTGCAGTGACTCTGTTGTATTTTGGCCGATTCGAAAGGTGGGATAAAGCTGATCTGAAATCGAATATAAGATTTTCCAGAATAAGCCTGTGTTTTACCTTCGTGAAAAGAATGATGTCTTAAGACAAAAAGCCATTTGCTTTAAAATTGAGACAAGAAGGTGAATGCCGCTGGCCTCAGGATGCTCACGAGAGTTGTGACACACTGAATGTAAACTTGTTAGAGTTGCACCCAAATATCGTGAAAAAATAATTTTGTAAGCATGCCGAGTAGTAATATTCAGTTTATGAATCTCTCGTAACACTGATCGTGTTTTATTTTTGAAATACTGTGTCATCGTTCTCAAACCAACGGCCAACCTGGTACCCTACCAGAAAACCCCTCTTCGCGAGTGCAAGGGTCTGTCTCCGGAATCTCATGACCCGCACATGGTAAGCAGTCACCCTACGGACAACAGACCGGGGACTATGCCCGTCATTTCCCCGGGAGAGTACGACCCACCCCCACCACCCAGCAATTGTGCCGGCTGTGGTGGTCAAATATCGGACCGTTACTATCTCCAGGCGGTCGATCGTCAGTGGCACGTGTCGTGTTTGACATGCCATCGCTGCAAAGCGCAGCTGGACACAGAATTGACATGTTTCTGGAGGGACGGACACATCTATTGTAAAGAAGACTACTACAGGTAAGCCTTATTTTGATGCCTGCCAGTCAAAAAATATTAATTCGAAAGTTTTGAAATAAGACACTTTGCCAGAGATGCTCGATGTTTTAAATGTTTATGCTTTACATCATATTTTCAGAAAACTTTTGAACTGAAGCTCTTACTATACGGTATTTTACGTTTTATTTTCGAATACGAAAATTTGCGTTTAAAAATATATGTAGAGCTATATATATGAGGTATCTATGATAAGGCCAGAAGTAGATGATTTTTAACTATATAATAGGTTATTGAAAAGATCGAAATTCTTATAAAGGATTGAAGAATTGTTTTATTATTTGTTCTCATTCCTCAGCCACTATGCATTATCGCGATTTTTAAAATGAGTCGCAACATTCGAAATCGGCTCTCCTGAGAATCCATAATTCTCCGATTTGTTCTGTAGCATGGGAGAAGAAAAAAACCAAAAATTGATGCACCTGTGACATTTGTAATCGTATGCAATACATTTGAAGGATTTTTTTAAAATTGTATTACAAATATATATATGTGTATATGTTGTGGTTTGTTAATTTGCTTTGGAACCAAACTATTAGAGAGAAAATCTTGAGCAAAATTTTTCAGTTGCCGTGTTAGAATAAAAGTTATTCTCATTGTATATCGCACTCCTTTAAATAAATGCGATACATGTTATTTAGTTATTTTCAGTAGAACTGCAATTCCTTTTTAACTCCGTAATTTAGAATGAAGAAGTATAAAGTAAAATGTATCATTGACTTTGTAATAATTATAACATCTTATGTGACTAATAACTAACATGCTAAAACATGAGCTGATGTAGCGAATTAGCCACGAGACACATGTGATGTTTGAAACGGCATGTCCCGGCAGATTTTCATACTTTATTCCAGGTCTCTTAATTTTCGTCCAGTTTCTGATACTAAGAGTTTGACTGATATTAATTCATTTATTTAAAAAACAGTTTTAACGGATATATGCTTAATGAGTAAATATGAAAACAGTGTAAACGTTTTATGCAGCATGCAATTATATACGGGAGTTTTTAAATTTATTTATTTATTTTTTTTTTTTGTCCCATCAAGAGTTAAAAAGGGATTTGAAGACTTATTTTAATACTGAAGTTTAGATCCGAAATAACAAAGCGGTTTCGAAGTTTAGATTGAGCAAATGTTTATAAGCAAAATGTGAAAATGAAAAAAGTTTCAAGCCAATAAAAAGGTCTCTGGTTAGTAAAAACTGCTGCAAATTTTCGCTTTCAGTTTAGTGTTATCTCATGTTTGGGGAATTCTTAGCGATATTTTTCCTCTAAAGATCATCTGAATAAAAATTGTCTCCATAGGAATATCTTGGAAATGATATACATTGCATATTAATAAATGTATAGATAGTGTGATGTCCAAGCAAATTTTACTGGTGGAAATTATTCCAATATAATGTAAGTGATAGGAAAGAAGAGTCATCTTGTGATATGAAATGAAAACGCTTTCAGGAATGCTCACAGATTTAAAGTTTTTTGCGTGCTTTGAGTTTTTCAGAATATTTATGGAATTTTGTTTCTTTTTGCAAATTTTTCGAATAGTCTTTTGGTCGTTATTCGAAGTTATTTTCTGGTAAAGGAAATTATACTTGTACTAAAAGAACAAAATATTGGGGGGAGGGAGAAAAAAGTTGGTGAACTAAATTTTATTTTTTTGAAGTTTCGCCCATTTTCTGGTTCCCCCTCACGAGCAATGCAAGTAAATCTACTAAATGCCACTTTGTAAAATTCTCCGATGTTTCCATACACGATGAAAAAACATATTCCGAATCTTAAATCCCCTAAACACCGTTTTCTGTTTTTGAACAATCAACATTAACCGTCAGTTTTTTCATTTAATCTCCCCGTAATCTGTGCACGTATGAAACTGGGGCTCTGTATAGGTGGGGAAGGGAGATTTCCCCCTTTCATGTGGGTTCTATGGGTGATTGCATTTATAAATCAACGGGGGGGGGGAATAGGAAGGGCATTTAGGCATAAGCTTTTTTTATGGATATTGTCTGAAAATAAATGGAAATATGTTTTCTCATGAATGTTTTCGGGTTTTAAGTAATGAACATTTTGATTTAGGTGTGGAGCTAAATTAGATCATTATTCTTTGTACTGAATCTGCAGTGTTAAGAACAAATAACAATAGTAATAATAATAATGATAAAATAATTGGAGGAAAATTGTTACATATGGCTGTATTGGAAAGATCAATCCAAACATATGAAACAGATCAAGTATCACACAAGAACAATGATATATAATAATAATAATAAAAGAACAAACATTTAAAGTAAGAATCAGTGGCATATACTAGACGGAAGAATGCCAATCTTATTAAGATGATGTGATTTGAGGAAAAATATTTGCTTTTAAATTTCTTGAAAAGCAAATTGTTATTCAACGAAGGAAGTACAAACATACCATATTTAATAATATTCTAAATAAAGTATGTTGCAAGTTTTACTAAACAAGGGAATTCTGTTATTAAACAGGCAAATATAAAATATCACATACCAGAATACCATGTTCTGAAAGCTGACGGAAATGCTTTAACTATTCGTAATTATATTTGTGTGTGTGGGGGGATGTGGCTGTTTGTTTACAATGATTGATAATTATTTTTGCAAAAACTATTCAAACGATTGATAACTGAGAGTGAGAGAAATGTGTAAGAAAAATCTCAAGTAAGAAAACCACTTAATGTAATGTTTCAAATTTTCTTATCATAAGACAAATATTTTAGCTAAAAATCTTTTCTGCTTGGACTTCCTTATAAAGGCAATGAAATTCCCATCGATCTGTTTGCGTTAATTAATTCTTTGCGTTAACTGAATTAATACGAATGCAAGAGAATTATTCTCAAACCATGTTAGACCTCTTCCCAGACCATGATAAAATAAATGGGAAATAAATATGTTAAATTAACCTCACTTAGTCCCTTTTTTATTAATAAATTAACTATTTTTCAATGTCTGTGTATTAGAGTATGAGTTAAAAAAAAACATTTTGAGATATTCCTTAAAACTGAATTCCCATCTTAGAATATTTGAATATATATTTGAAATATTGCGTAATTAATATTATGCACCGTTTTAATTTAAGCTATGTGGCCTAACTTTTATATTACGCGATATATATCAATAAGTTTATATACTTTTTGAATTTATAAATTGCAATCACCTACTAAAGCATTTGTTCCAACAATTATTTTAGCCAAGCTGCTGAGCAAACAAAAATTCAACGACAATTTTTGCTTTGCTCAAAATAAAAGTCTTTGTCCTATTTATATTTTTGCTTTAGTTAGCTAAGTTACCATAAATGGTACTTGTAATAACAATACAACAGGATATAGTAATAAATTTAGATGCTTTTGGATTTTTATCAGCAATCTGAGGCTTGTTGAATAATAATGTCTGTTATTTGAAACTCTCCAATTGGTTCTACAAAACCATTGCGGTCATTTCTTTCATTTTTAGTAAAACACAAAATTACCAAAGACGAAAATTTTGCTGAATGACCATCTGGTGTATATTTACCATATTCTGAGCACTCATTGAGTGAGATATATACATATAGAAATATTATTTCAAATTAAAAAATTACGGTTTTAAAATTTTTAGTAAAAAATATCATACTTTGTTTTCACAACATCTTTTTCGTCATTAATAAAATGCTTACGAAGATGTACGAAATGCTCAAAACATAATCTCTATTTCGTTTGTTTCCTTATTGTGAAGATATATGAACACTTATTTTACTTGAAGTATTGACAGAGAGGAAACAATTGTCTTGGACGTAATAAACTGGAACGTAATTTTCTTAATCCCTTTTTCGAAAACGGCGAATATCAATTTAAAAATAGTAGTTGAAAAATAAACGAAAAACTTGCATTCCTATCTAAGGAAAAATGAAAGTTTAAAGACTGTTAAATTTGAAAAAGAGTTACTTGTGTATCCTCATTTTTTGTTGAACATTTCGGCTGAAGTTAGTACGGTAGCACTAAATGTAAAGAAAATAAGCTATAGATCTTGTACATATAATATCGATAGTTTGCTTTTGATCCGATGTTTATTTATGTAAGCACTGTTTTAATTTAAAACATAAAAGTGTTTCGTTACGTAGAAAGGCAATCTACAAAAGTGGCAATTTGCCACGTTTTAAAAAATCTGGTAACGTCTGGTAACGTTCGAGTTTTTTATTAAGTAAAACTATATAATCAGTTAAGATTTTAAGAATGCACCCAAGGAAAAAACATAAAAGTGTTGTTCTACCAATTGTTTTTTAACAACAAATATATGTCATAAATTATTTAAAATATTATATTTGAAAGATTACGTGTGTAATAATAGTCACGTAACAGACACTATTTATCGGAAATGTAACTTCATTGCTGAAATTTTAAATTGTACATTGCTCAAATTTTAAATAAATCATCCATAGCATCCTAACAGTGAAACAGAATAAAAAACATACTTTAAATTGACAAAATCAGCATTTGTAACGTTTGATTATTTTTTCACCAGTTGATATATTGAATTATTTATTTATTTTGTCGAAAAGATTAATGGATTAATGTAATAATTAAAAGTATGAAAATCTAAGCGTGTACAGTTTCTGGTTTTCAATATGTCGTTAATAAATACCAGAACTATATTTTTACTCCAATGAATGAGATATATCATATGATAAGGATAGAAAATGAAGCCTTTAAAAAAGATTAGCCACTTTTTTTTTTCAAAAAGAATTGGAAGAAAGTAGATTGGCAATAGAGATGAATTTGATAGAATTGAACATGAATATTTTTCATATTATTTTTTACCTTGGATTTATTGGCTATAATTGTAGCATTTAAATTTTTAAAGACTTGTTTTACTTCATAGTCACTGTAAGTAAGGTATCAAAATTAAATGTACAATCACATGAGGTTATTTCAGATAAGTAGTTAAGGATAGAGATAGCTAATGTAATGATT